CTTTATATATATATTTTATTATTGATTTCAGAGAGGAAGGGAGAAGGAGTGAGAGAAACATCAATGATGAGAATCATTGATTGGCTGCCTCCTTCACACCTCCTACTGGAGATAGAGCCACAACCCTGGCATGTGCCCTTGACCTGAATTGAACCCAGGACCCTTGATCAAGCAGCTAATTCTGTAGCCAGACCAGAAGTCGACAGCCGAGTGGACGAGCTACAGAAAGGGAGGAATGGCTGGCTATGGGAGGGAAGAGGAGTGGGTGGGAAAGATGACTGGAGCAGGGATGGAGGAAGGAGAGGGCAGAGGGCAGCACAGTTGGATGTGACTGACAGATACAATGGGAACCTCTAGCCAAGCGCTGGAATGCCAGAGAGCAATAGAAGGGCAGGAACCACTGACGCAGGCATGAGGCTGTAACAGGTCAGCCGTACATTCCTCGTGGTGACAGCACTTTCCAAACTCATGATGTGAAGGGACTAGAGCCCCCAACGGCCCCCCCCCTTCTCTGCAGCCACCACCTGCATATAGAGAGGGGCCCAAGCCTGGCCCCAAGTGTGGCCAACTTCAAAGGCAATTCTCCAGGCTTGCCCCAGAGCACCTGCTGGAAAGAGGAGGAAGCCAGGCAGTCTTGAACACTGAGGCCCCTGCTTTCGACACCTCTGGATAAAGAAGTCCCTGTGGCCAGCAGATTCCCGAGGGATCCTCCTGGCACAGCCCCTTTCTGGGCCTGTGTCCCTCTCTCAAAAGAAAAGGAGAGGTGTGAGGGCATGTGAACATGGATCATAACTGGCACAGGCATGGGTACTCTCTTTAACCTTGAATTTCTGGATCGTCCCTCTCTAGTCTGTAACACTTCTGGTTTCTCATAGATTTCCCACCTGGCCTAACATATGTTCTGCTCTTAGCGTGAGCATTCACTGGGATGGACCGGAACAGGAGCTGCAATCCGGATGGGTTCAGGGTCATCACAGGCATCGGAGATGTCTATTGCAAATCCCAGGACAGGTGCCTTCCCTAAAAAGGTATTCAAGTCCAGATAAAATGACAATGAAAACTAACTACTGCTTTTCGATTCCTGCTTCAAACATAATTTTTTTTGTTAATCCTCACCCAAGGATATTTTTTCAATTGGTGTTTAGAGAGAGTAGAAGGTAGGGAGAGCGGCAGAGGGAAGGAGAGAAAGAGAGGGGGGAAGGGGAGGGGAGGGGAGGGGAGGGGAGGGAAGAGAAGAGAAGAGAAGAGAAGAGAAGAGAAGAGAAGAGAAGAGAAGAGAAGAGACACATCGATTGGTTGCCTCCTGCATGCACCCCGAGGGGAGCCAGAGATTGAACCTGCAACCCAGGTATGTATGTGCCCTTGACTGGGAATCAAACCCGCAAGCCTCCAGTACACACGCCAGCGCTCTAACATATTTTCTATACAGCATATGATGCTGGAAGCAGTGACATATATATAAAGTCCTTCCAACTTTGAGATACTGGGGGTGCTTTTGGTTAGATGCATTTTTTAAAATTTCTCCTTTTATTTTTTCAAGAAAATACATAGATGGCATTGTTTAGGCTGTTCTGAGCACTTCATAGTTAACTCATTTAATCCTCACAAAAATCCAATGAGGAAGGTACTATTATTGGCCCATTTCATCGAAGAGAAAGGCAGAAGTTAAATGAACCCAAGGTCACACGGCTAGTAAATGACAGAGCCAGGATGTGGACACTGGTGTTCAGGCAGCAGAGTGTGGGCTTTCCACTGTCAGCCTCTACTGCCTCTAAACCTAACGGGTCCACGTGGCAAAAATAAGGAAATGATTTCAAACAGGAAGGGAATGGAAGTTATGCTCATCCCTCCCTCCCAAAGCGATCCATCTTCCTGCCCGGAGGAAACCCGTTAACAGTTCCCTCCCGGAAAAATGCAAGTATGCACATAAAAGCATATACCTAGATATATAAACTGTACACCTCTCTATATCTTTCAGAACAGAAATAGAAGCATTTTATACCACTGTTGCACGTCCTTATCTTACTTAATATTCTATATTTGATTTTTTTCCATATCAAAACATATAGGTCTATTTCATTTTAAGGGTTACAAAGCAATCCATTCTAAAGAAGTAATATAATTTAATTCATTACCCTCAAGATTTCAGTGGTCTGGAGTCATTTTCTTTTATAAATAATGCTACCATAAACAATTTTGTATTTGATGTCTTTCCTCATCTGTACCAGTTTATTTCAGAACAACTTAGGAAAGTGTAAATTTTGTCTAGGTTTAAACATGTGATACATTTTTCTAAATTACTGTGTAAGTGGTTACATGAATTTATATAGCATTGATGTATAAATAATAGTTGGTTCTGGAAGTTTATATTTACTAGTTGACATTTACATTTATAAAATTCTAAAGTATTGGTAGAAAGGCATTTTTGCTTTCTAATGATCAAAACAAGTCAAACTATCAAGGGGAACTTCTACCTTATGTCCTTTAACAACACCCTCGGCAAGAAAGGGTTAATTAAAAAGTTGTATCTGTAGTTGCTAAAAGACAGTCTATACCACATGACAAGTTACTTTCCGAAGTTAGAAGAACAGTCTGGCAATTTTTCTTTATTGAGTCACGATCATGTACCTCCCTCTCTCGCTCTGGCTTCCAGGATGCTCAGTATTACATCTGATGCTCAGTCACCTCAATATTAACCAATGAAGAAGCATCACTATTTTTGTGTTACTTTACTCCTAGTTTTATTGCAATGACCTAATTTCACACATGCATCTTATACAAGCCCTCAAGTCTATTTTAGAAATAGGAGATAGAAAAAGAATTAAATGACCTTTAGATTAATAAAAGGTCAGGTAATGTCACTAAGGTAAGAGGCAAGGAGAGAGCAATGAGCAAAACTTTCATTCCCTTCCTGTTTGAACTATGTTATTGCTCTTCAGAATCATCCTTAGAAGATAACAAATTGGGAAAATTCCTCTCATCTTCCCCCTTTGTAACTGGGCAGCAGGAGTTAGAATTTCAGGGCAGAAAAGGAATTTGAAGATTAAGCAAACCTATCATTTTACAAATGAGGACACTGAGGCCCAGAGGGGTGAGGTGACTTACCTGCGGCCACCACTCTTGGAAATGACAGAGGAGGACTAAGGCGTGGCAGCTTGAGATCCAGGCCAATGTGCTTCGAGTAACAGGAGTCAGAAGACTTGGGTGGCAGGAGAGAGGAAGAGAAGGTAACCACACAGCCCCTAGCAACGAAAACAACAAAAAGGACTTGAGGCATTCATAAATAATTAAGCAATTAGCTGAGCAGCTACTCCCCTCCCTCCAGCATGCAGTCACCAAGGCAACTTGGGCAGGGTGCCTGCTGGTTGCCTAGTAACAGTGTGGCTGGCTCCCCTGACGGGCTTCCTAGGCATCACAGGATCTGAGAGCAGGGAAGAGCCTTGGGCAGGGATCATTATTCTAACACCTTCATTTTCCAGATGAGGAAAGGGAGGCACAGAGAAGCCGAGTAACCTATGCAATGTCACACAGCTACTCAGAGACACAGCCAGGCTCTCTATGTCCAGTTGTTTGCTGCACTAGGACTGCCTTGGGGACACTGCAGATGGGGGGCGGGGAGACCACTCCATAATTCCTAGGAAAATAAGGAAGTAAGACCCAGCCAGCAAGCAAGAAAGAGACAGACCTTGAGCTCTCATGTGCAATTAGCTGGTAATTTGATCAGCCCAACTTTCATCATCACCATGGCAACATGGGTGAGGTGGGTGCCGGTTGCCTAGTAACAAGTGGTCTTCTGTCTTCCACTCCTATCAGGCTCCTTGGAACAGTAGAATGTTGGAGCTGGAAAGGAAGGCAGAGATCCTAACTCAGTCTCTTCCTTTGACAAATGAGGAAATTGAGGTTTGGGACACTGTGCAAAGTCACACAGCCACAGAGCTCGCTAGTGATAGGGACTCATTGTCGGCCGGCCAGTCTTTTCTGAATTCCCTCCATTCACTGTCTCTGTCACAGCACTGCAGGAGAGGAAACTTCATGCAAAGTGAAGAGATGGGAGGGAAATGGCTGGTGGTCCCCGGAGGTGCTCCTGCCACTTGTCTAAAGGTGGATACGCCACACACAGGCCTGGCAAATAGTGGATGTACACGGAGGCACTATGCACAGTAGTTAAATCCAGGGATCTAGAGTCAGAAAACCTCCATCAAAGTCCCCTCTCCCCAAACCTGGCAAACTTCCTGTCCCTCTGTGCCTCGGTTTCCACATGTGAGAAATGGGCATCCCAACAGTGCCTACCTCTCACTGAGCATAAATTATCATCAAGATTAACTGAGAAAATGGACACATCGATTAGTAAGTATTTGTGGCATGTCCGCAACGCAAATGCCATGTCCCAGGCTCTGAGGTTCATCAGTGAGCAATACGGAAAAAAGAAATCACTGTCTCAGGGAGCTCACTTTCCAGTGGAAAGACTTGTGCACGTGTGTGTGTGTGTGTGTGTGTGTGTGTGTGTGTGTGTGTGTTTGCATTTTTTAAATGTTTGTTGAATGGGTGGGGGAACTTACTGGCAATCTCCTATGTTTATGTTGCTGGGCTCTTTCTCTAAGTCTGAGCAGGCTCCTGTTTACAGGGCTGTCTGGTATGTGGGAGCTTTTCCCCCCCTTTCTTTTAAAAGCTCCAGAGAAATAGGAAGGCAGTGGCCACTACATGGCAGACCCTAGATACAAGGCACAGGGGGCAGGCCCAGGCCTGGGGCACACTTCCAGTGTTGTGGCTACTCAGTCCTAGGGGATGGCTCAGAGGCTGAGGGAGATTGGAAAATCCCCCAGGACAGTGTGGGAGGGGGAGAGTGGGGAGGCTGTAGAGTGGTTTAAGAGTATTGCTTTAACCCCATGTACAAAAATTAATTCAAAACAGACCCAAGACCTAAATATAAGATCTAAAGCCATAAAGTACATAGAAGAAAACATAGGTACTAAACTTATGGACCTTGGTCAAGGAGGACATTTTATGAACTTGACCCCAAAAGCAAGGGAAGTAAAAGCAAAAATAAATGAATGGAACTATCTATAATAATAAAAGTGTAATATGCAAATCGACCGAATGGCCAAACAGCGGAACAACTGTCTGGATGACCTTCCGGACGACCTTCTGGACAAAGCCGGGACTGCAAGGGTGGCAGAGGCAGCCGGGGCTGCGAAGGCCTACTCTTGCATGAATTTTGTGCATCGGGCCTCTACCTCTAATCCTATATAATAAAAGGCTAATATGTAAATCGACCAAAAGGCAGAACGACTGGTTACTATGATGCACACTGACCACCAGGGGGAAGACGATCAATGTAGGAGCTTCCCCCTGGTGGTCAGTGCGCTCCCACAGGGGAAGTACCGCTCAGCCAGAAGCCCTGAGCTGGGCTCATGGTTGGCAAGTGCACAGCAGTGGCGGGAGCCTTTCCCACCTCCGCAGCAGCGCTAAGGATGTCCGACTGACGGCTTAGGCCCAACTTTCATCATCACCATGGCATCGCCCTAAGCCATCAGTCGGACATCCCCTGAGGGCTCCCAGACTGCGAGAGGGCGCAGGCTGGGCTAAGGGACCCCCTTGAGTGCAGAAATTTCATGCACTGGGCCTCTAGTGTTAAACTAAAAAGCTTTTGCACAGCAAAAGAAACCGATAACAAAACAAAAAGGCAACCAAGCGAATGGAAGATGATATTTGCAGACAATAGCTCTGACAAGGGGTTAATATCCAAAATATATAAAGAACTCATACAACTCAACACCAAAGAAACAAAAACATACAAAAAGAAAAAAAAAAAAAAAAGCAGAGGACCTGAACAGACACCTCTCCCAAGAAGACATAAAAATGGCCAAGAGTTACATAAAAAGATGTTCAACTTCACTAGCTATCATACAAATGCAAATCAAACTACATTGAGATACCACCCTACACTTGTTAGAATGGCCATTATCAACAAGACAAGTAGTAACAAGTGTGGGAGAGGATGTGGAGAAAAAGGAAACCTCATTGACTGCTGGTGGGAATATAAACTGGTACAACCACTGTGGGAAACAGTATGGAAGCTCCTCAAAATATTAAGAAGACAGCTACAATATGACCCAGCAACCTCTCCTGGGCATCTACCCGAATAACTCAAAAACATCTATTTGCAAAGATATATGCACCCCTATGTTCACTGCAGCGTTATTCATAATGGCCAAGACACAGAAACAGCCAAAGTGCCCCGCGATAGAGGACTGGATAAAGAAGAAGAGGTACATATACACAATGGAATAGTATTCAGCCATAAGAAAGGATGAAATAGCACCATTTGCGACAACATGGATGGACCTTCAGAGTATTACGCTAAGTGAAGTCAGTCAGAAAAAGCTAAGAACCATATGATTCCGCTCGTATGTGGGATATAAAACTGAAACTCAGACACGTAGACAGACGACAGTATGGTGGTTACAAGAGGGAGGGCGTGGGGGGTAGTAAATGGTGACAGAAGATGATTTGACTTTGGGTGGTGGGCACACAATGCAATATACAGCTCATGTATCATAGAGATGTAACTTGCAACCTATATGATCCTATTGACCAATGTCACTCCAATGAATTTACTTTTTCATAAAGAGAGTGACTGCTTTAGTGAGCTGGGTCCCACTTTGACCAGGACCTGCATGGTGAGCTGTGTGACTCCAGGGAGTCACTGACCTTGCTGAGCTCTGGCTTCTCGCCGAACACGGAGAAAATGACTGCTCTGAGGCGCATGCAAGAAAATATGTCTAATGCACCTCGCAAACTCAGCGAGTGTTACTTTACAGAAAAGCTCAGCCAGTGTTATCATCTAGAATCGAAAGACCCCTGAAGGCCTGGATCTGAGGGGCGAGAGGAAGGGGAGGGGAGGGGAGACAGCGTGTGTGAAGCATCTGCAGTGAGTAGACTGAGGGCCTGCCAGTCACCGAGCCTGGACAATGTGACAATGAGGCTCAGTTGTCCACCCTCCACATCCACATGCCCCCGTCCACAGTCCTTATTTGGGTCTCCCTGCTCCCCTTGCACTGGTCTTCCCCGTGGTCCACCCACTCCCAGTCTTCACTTCCTCCAAGTCCAGCCAAGCACACCCCCTCCTCGCTGGTCTCCCCGCTTCCAGAACTAGCCCCTAACCTCCCACTGCCAGGCAGCAGCTGAGCACTGTCCCCCAACAGTGATGTGACCACACCCACAGGGCGTTGCTGGCTTCCTACTGCCTCAGGACCAAGCCCAGACTCTTTCTGGTGGCCAGCAGGGCTTGGCGTCGCCTGCATCCTGTGCTCTTCCCCTTCCTTGAGCTTCTGGCCCGGGAGCACCTGCACAGGCGGTTCCTGCTCTTAACCCTCCCATCCCTCTGCTCTGCATGGCTGGCTCCTCCCACTCGAGCCTCCTAGGAGGTCTTCCCGCCCCAGGCTCCAGAGCAGACCCCTCCCTGATTGTTTCCTTCATGGCACATGTCACAGCAGCACTGACCCTCTGCCTGTCTCCCAGGCCTGGGCCCCCCTTGAGCACCCCTATGCCCTGGTGCCTAGCATAGGGCTGGCCACATGGATAGCACCCCAAAAAGTTATTAAAAAGATGAGCTGGGTACACAACAACTGATTGAAAGAAACAGTCTGTGAATTCATCTCCCAATTTCTAGTCTTTCTCCTCTGCCAATTTACCCTTCCCGTGGATGGCAGGTTCATTTCCCTAAAATGCGCCTTTCCCCTGTACTTCTTTGCTCATAGTCCTAACTGGCCTGCTGTCTCTCACAGGCGGAGTCTGAAACCTCCAGTCCAGCATGGGACCTTTCCCCTGTACTTCTTTGCTCACAGGCGGAGTCTGAAACCTCCAGTCCAGCATGGGAAACCCTCCCCACCTAACCCAGCTCTCCAAAAGCATCTGCAAGTCCATCTCTTCATACACTTGTTACATGTTCATGCGACAACATTCCCTGGTGCCTGGCAATACGTGCGTACACGCAATACATGTCTTTGTTACATATTTGGATGCAGCCTCTTCCCCTTGGTGGGTGTTCAGCTCACACGGCGTGAGCTCCGGGGCTGGGCTGGGCCCCACTCCTCCCCACGTCCTCCCAGCTCCTCGTGCAGCACCTGCACATGGAGATCGGCTTTCCGGAGCCAGCGATCCATCTAATCCCCGCTCAGCAAGCACCCTGTGTGCTCACATATCCATACTCTTTCCCGAGAGCTTTTTTCTTCTCTGCCCATCAAAATTTTGCAAAAGTTTTCTTCTCTGCCCATCCTTCCAGGGCCAGATCAAGTCCTGTCAGAGTCAGTCGCCAAGCACAACTCTGAAAGGAGCAGGAGGCGAGCTCCAGGGCGAGGGCTAAGCAGGCCCCCAACGACTCTCCTTAGGAGGCTCCTGCTCTGGCCAAGGGGGCACTGGAGAGCAGCCATGCTTCTCCTTGGCTAAGAAAGGGGCCAGTTGCGCTGGCCCATGTGGCTTCGTTGGTTGAACGTCGTCCAGTGCACCAAAAGGTCACCAGTTCGATTCCTGATCAGGGCATATACCCAGGTTGTGGGTTCGATTCCCAGATGTAGGCAACTCATCAATGTTTCTCTCTCTCTTCCTCTCCCTTCTTTTCTCTCTAAAAAATCAATGAAAACATAAAAAAAAAAGGCCCTGGCCCTAGCCAGTTTGGCTCAGTGGATAGAGCATCGGCCTACAGACTGAAAGGTCCCGGGTTCAATTCTGGTCAAGGGCAGGTACCTCAGTTGCAGGCTCCCCTGGCCCAGGCCCTGGTCTGGGCATGTGCAGGAGGCAACCGATCGATATGTTTCTCTCATATTAATATTTCTCTCTGT